TTGAGATGGGCTTCATCTCAAGTTTTAAGTCCACAAGGTTTCAATTCGAGGTTTTACGGTATTACCTGTTCACATTCCAACCTCTAGGCTGAGATTGAAACACCTGTAACTGGTGCTCTGTATTTTGACCTGTATATTACCAAAGATAATAAATAGCAGAAGATAGAGCAGCTTCCAAATATAGAGGAACATCCGTTCGAAAGGCATTGTGGGTACACGGAGAGCAATTTTACCCTGTCCGCGCGGCGGCCCTATATAGAAATAATAAACAGCAATAAAGGCGCTGCTCTGGTTCTTTTGTTTCCTGTAGTTTCTCCACTTTGTAAAATATTCAAATTTTACCCCACTCGCAGGAGGGCGGGTGTTCCATCAAATTTTAATACAAATACGCAGAGCAGCTCATTCTTCTGCTATTTATTAAAAGTTCTTTGATATTACTCTGTATATTTTGTCTGGTATATTACGGTATTTTGTCCAGTATGTTTCTATATTTTGTCCAGTAGTGTATGATACTTCGTATTTTGTCCAGTATATTACTGTATTTTGTCCAGTATATTACACTGTATTTTGTCTACTATATTACTCTGTATTTTGTCCAGTATATTACTGTACTGTATTTTGTCCAGTATAGGTCTACTACTGTATTTTGTCCGGTATATTTGTATTTCGTCTACTAAATTTACTCTGTATTTTGTCCAGAATATTACTGTACTTTTTCAAGTATATTACTGTATTTTGTCTACAATATTACTCTGTATTTTGTCCAGTATATTACTGTACTTTTTCAAGTATATTATTGTATTTTGTCTACAATATTACTCTGTATTTTGTCCAGTATATTACACTGTATTTTGTCCAGTATATTACCTTGTTGAGTGTGTCCAGCATGATACTGATTGTCATTTCCAATCAGACTTCCAGCCGCTGAAGATACTGTAAATTATAAATTCAAATTATAATGATATTAAGAAATAATGTGGTAATGTGGGGAGTAATGCTAGGATTTGCCTGAGAGGGGGTTTAATGTCTTGAACAGAGGGGGAGGGCAAGATTCTTGACAATAAGGCAATTTTCCTAGACAGGAGCACAAGCAGGTAGGTCCAGGAGATGCTCAGAGCCCGTCAAGTGGTCCAATGTGCCCTCGAAAACCCAACAATTTAGAGATTTGAAAGGCTTATTTAAACATATTTTGTCCAATATACTACTGTACTTTTTCCAGAATATTACTCTATTTTGCCCAGCATATTACTGTATGTTATCCAATATATATTACAGTATTTTGCACATTATCTGTATTTTATCCACTGTATTACTCTGTATTTTGTCCAGTATATTACTGTATCGTGTCCAGTATCATTTTGTATTTTTTCCACTATACTGTAATTTGTCTACTACTGTATATTACTCTGTATTTTGTCCAGTATATTACTGTATTTTGTCCAGTATACCGTATTACTCTGTATTTTGTCTACTATCTTACTCTGTATGTTGTCTAGTATATTACTGTATTTTGTCCAGTTAATTACTGTATTGTGTCTAGTATAGGCATATCTGTATTTTGTCCAGTATATTACTGTATTTTATCCACTACATTACTCTGTATTTTGTGCCGTACATAACTATGTATTTTGTCCAGTATATTACACTGTATTTTGTCCAGTATATCAGGGCCGGCGGAACGTTTTTCAAAGTGGGGGGCCCACTTATAAGCAGGCGCGTAACAGGGGTCTTGGGTCAGGGGGTGGTGGCAAAGGTAATAATTTTCTCGGTTAGTAATTTATGACTTGGTGTGATACCCCCCCCCCCCATATAGAAAACAATACGACATAGGGCTTATTTTATTATTACACACGTGTGTTTGAAACTAAATATAAGCATTTTCATCGTGGTTTTATTTATTACAATCATAGGCCTATTCTTTTACCATCATTACACATTGAGGCCCTTCTTTTAGGTAAAACGATCTATCTTAAATTTTCTTTCTCAAGTTTGGGACTATTATGTTCTTAAATAACTTAGAAGGCAAAGGAGAGCAAGCACAAGCTTTAAAATAAAAAAATGCGCGCGAAAAATTTTTTGTTTTTTCAATTCTAATTTCGTCGGAATTGATCAAAACTCCCTAAAATGTGCAATTTTTTAGAGGAAATTGGCCTACCTCAACAAGAAATGCTCTTGTGTTATATATGGCCACACTCGTTTTAATTTTCGTTATGGATTTATTTATTACAAACATATTCTTTCAACATCATTACACATTGAGGCCCTTCTTTTGTAAACGATCTATCCTTAAATTTTCTTTCTTGAGTTTGGGACTATGTGTTATAATTTATAAGGCAAAGGAGAGGAAGCACAAGCTTTAACATTAAAAAATGCGCGAGTAGCGCGCAAAAAAAAGTTGTTTTCTAATTTCGTCGGAATTGATCAAAACTCCCTAAAATGTGCAATTTTTAGAGGAAATTGGCCTACCTCAACAAAATATTGGATTTAAAATTTGAGATTTTCAG